AGAAATGGGCGCCTCCTGCCAATCGCCACCCTGCAAAGCCGCCTCGATGCTCGTGTAGATACGAGGGAGAGGGAGGCTGACTACAGCAAACAGGAGGCACGGCGGCAGCACCGGCAGTAGTAACGGGAGCAGCTGGTATTTGGGTGATTAAATAGTTCTCGCAGCCTTTTTGCTGTCGCCTGGTTGCTCCCCGGTGTAACCCCCCGCGTCCAAGAAGGAAGCTGCATTTTTAACGGTGTGCTGAAGAGAGGTTTGAATCGTTCCAGCTGGCTGCTTGCTTTAGAAGAGGACACTCTGTGTATAAACGAGATGTGACTGTGCCCAGCAGAGTTCAGTCACTGGGGCTGGAGCAAGAGGAACCTTCCCGGGATGCCGCTCAGACAGCTGCTGTCAATTGAAAACTCTCCCTAGTTTAACCCGGAGCCATGTGAAGAGATTTGAGTAGCAGATGTCTCTTCCCTGCACATTAGGAAGAGAAATCCTTCTCTAGGTAAGCTATTGTTCTGCTTCTGCACATACCGCTACGCTAACCTATACTTCTGAGTATATATTCATACGAGGATATAGACAGTGCCTGCACCCAGAGATGAGAAAACAGTTCCTCAGCAGGCATAAATACCCACACGGTGCGTAAAACGGTTTGCCTTGAACAGAATTATGTATAGCGAGTACTTCGGGAAGCTGCCTAGAGCCTGGCATTCCAAGGATTATTTGAAAGTTTGAGACAGCCTTTGCCATGTTTGCATGCAAGTGCCGTCGATGTAAATGGATGCATGCAAGTGCCCTCAATGTAAATGGATGCACACCCTCCGAGGGGAAATAGTTGTCTGACTAAATATATGAGAGACCTCAGAAGTTAAGAGTATAGGAAGTTGATGGGGGGGGGGGGAGAGAAGGTTGCAATTCTTTAGTCTACTCCATACACTTTGCTTTTATTTGCCACCAAGTTAAGCAAAACTAGCGTATTAAAATGACAACGTGAAAGCTTTCCGTGGATGTATAGTAAACATGCACTACTTAAAGTGAGAGTAATCGCACTGTGAGGAAGCCAAGACCTGCAGATCTGTTCTCTTGCTTTGATAGCCAAACAGCCTCCGTCAGCAACATTTTTTCTTTTTTTTTTTTTTAAAACAGCATGATCATTCATAGTGTGGAAGCAAGGATTGTTTCAGGTAGTAAGAGGTAAACCCGAAGAAATCAGTGTTTGCTCTTCAGATGCCTCCCGAGCCCGAGCACAGCAGCAGCCCAGCGTTTTTATCTTACAGCTGATGTGCTGGCTCTGAGCCCCTGCTGCTGGGAATAAACACTCAAAGGAGAAATGTTTAGAGGTGAATAAGTCTCTTCCTCCAAGCGTTACACTAATGTAACCACACATGCATACAAAACCCACACTCCTTAGGTTCTCTTCCCCCCCCCGCCCCCCCCGGGGCAATTTACCCTATCATTTTTTACTAACTTCTGCAGCTCTTAATCACATTGATTGGACCCTCCCTCCCTGTGAATAAATGCTGCAGAATCTGGCCTACCCCATGTGCCCGGTTATTCTGCCTTTTCTACCTCCAAATGCTATCAGAGCAAAAGATAGGGAGAGAAATAAGTCATTTTCACCCTGGTTCTTCAGTAGTTTTTAATGATGATCCTCCTCCCGCTGCAAGATGTTCAGCCTGTAGCAGAGCAACAGAACCTCCTTGTTCATAAAGTTCAAACAGTTGGCAACGTTGCCAGGTGCTTCCCCATCTCGCCCCACCGTGCCCGTATACTTTCATCAGGGGCATCGGGCCATCAGCCAAGCTGCACCCTCTGACTTGCTTTCCAAAATGCTGCTCTAAAGAAAGGGGAGGGGGGAACAGGGGACGGGACAGGGGACGGACGGATGCCACGGGGACGGACATGCCAAGTCATATTTAACTAAGCAAATCCTTGGCTTCTAGTTTTCTTCCAAATCTTATCAATTCAAAGAGTATGATCTGCTCAATTAGATTAGATGGCCCTAATGGCATTGCTCTGTGCAGAAGTTTAAGACTGCGTATTAGTTTTTGTGCCATTTCCTCAGAACATGGCCATTTCTTGTCTGATTCATAATAAATGCCTAATGTCTGAAAGCCTCAGAGATGAAAGCGGGAGTACCTTAATGTCTTGTTGACACCACTGTTTTCTGCGAGGCTGGAGAAATGCTCCTCTCACTTTCATTTTATTGGGGTAAATCAAATCCAAAGCACAGAGCAGGATGCTTGAATGACTGACCGCTTGCACACACACACACACACATATATATATGTGCCCCCCCCCGCCGATATACTTCCATTTCAGTCTGAACACCCTGTTAACTCACACTATAAAGTTCTGGAAGCCCTATTAAAACTTTATGGATGTTGAGAGGTTGCGATATCTGCTATATTGCTCTTTGCAATGGCACTGATCAAACTTAGCTGATGTGGCAGCATGCAGGGAATCATGAGCTTCCGCAGAGTTCAACCATCATTCAGTATGAGTGGGAGAAAAAGATGCTAAAGATTTTTTTTTTTTCTTTTAAGTCTTACAGTACAGGAATTCTCTCAGAGGCATGAGGAGATGCTTTAAGGAAAACGTGGCCACATATTGCAAACCCAGGGCAATACTGATGAAAGAAAATGCTGATAAGTTACTAGTAGTTGTGACTATGAGTTTTCAGTTAGATAAACAAAAAAATTACATTTAACCATATGCCACCAGAAAGAGATTTGTTTCTCATTTGATTTTTCTACAAGCAGTAAGGGGAAAGAATATCATGATCTCTTAGCAAAAAAAAAAACCCCAACCCATTTCTGTTCCACATCTTTCTGATTTAGCTCACAAACAATTTTGATTTGACTGCCTTTATGACCACAGGCCTGGCTGAGCTTCAGCTGCATGTATACACTGCTGTCTGCTTCCATCAAGTGTTTGCTTTGCAAAGTTTTCATGATGCTTCAGCTGCTTAGATGCATCCAAGAAACTGTTTCCCATACCTGCAGAATGGGCTTTTCTGAACAAAGCAAACCCTGGGCTAAGAGCAAGCAAAGCATTTCAAGCCGGGGCCTGGGTGGGTAAAGGAAGGGATAGCTCAGAATTGGGCAGAAAGCTGCAGTTTCCCCAGCCTGGGGAGTCATGTCAGGAACAGGGCACGGATCTTAAGATGAGCCATGGGCTCTCCACACTTTCCAGGGTGAGGGGAGCCTGGGTTTGAAGCTGTTTGCAAGAATTAAGGAGTACAGCTTAAGGAGGCAGTTTAGCAGATCCCTTATTCTCAGGCTGGGATGGAGCTGAGGACCATTAAGAGCAGGCTGAGGGGCTGGGCTATGGGAGAAGGAGGGTCTCTGTGCTCGAAACTGCTTGGAGCATTAACTTAAAGTGTCCTGGCTCACATTTTGAGACAGGCTTGTATCACAGCAACAAGTCCACCTCCCCTATTGAGATGTTCAAGCAACGCTCCTCACAAAGTGTAAGCCACCCAGAAGAGTGCTAGATACAAATACAGAATTTATTTTCCATCTATGTCAACATGTAAATTAGAAAAATTGTTTGAGCTATAAAAAAAATTCAGGTGCTGGACTACAACAAAAACCATGCATGTCAATCTAAAACATTTATTACAACTACTGCCAGTAATCATTACAATGAAATCACAGATTCTTCTGAAATTAACAGCTGCTAGAGAAAACTAATAATATTTTATCCAAACAGTAATGTCACCAGAATCACATGGCAACAGCACAACGGCGTAGAAACCATGTCAGTATTTGATGAACAAAACACATTGGCACCAGAAGCAATGTGTTGTGATGAGATGATTTAAACCTGAATCTGAAAGGAACAGAGAAGTATTTAAACCTACTCCCTTCCCTCTGGCTGCAGGAAGGGTCACAACTGCTTTCCCCAAGTGCAGGCACGTGGAGCAAATTAATCCTCCCTTTGCTGAAAGGATGGGTTTTGCAGAGCCAGCGCAAATACAGAAGTAGAAGCCGGGCAGAGTGGGATTCTGTCATGAGAAAAGCAGCAAAAAGAAAGCGTTCCCTCTTCTTGCTTGGAAGCTGATAAGAACTGTACTTGGCTTACTTAGCTTGGTCAAGGGAAAACCTGCTGAGTCTCTGCTTTGTTTTCCACGACCTAGGGAAGCTTTTGCTTTCCCTGCTTCTTCATGTCACATGGAGGCTGCCGTGCAAGTTTCTTTCCTCCCTCAAAACACGCTAAAACAAGGCATTCCGTAGCATAGCCCCAAACCAGCCAGCATATCGCAGGCAGCAATTTAAAACCTGCACACGTATAGCTCCTGACGCCTTTGCCCCAGACCACAGTATAGCCAAACTTACAGAACACATTCCTTCTGCGTCCAAGGCTGCTGTTGCAGAATTTCAGCTAGGACCATCTCGCAACTTCAGCCACGGGACGAGAGGAGCATCTGCCACAGCCTGCACCGGGCAATGCACGCTCAGCTAATGGTGAGGGCTGCTGCACCTACAGCTGCAGAGGTTTCCTAATGGCTGGGGTTTATTTTCCCATATGTATCTATCATTATCAGACACAAAGCAGACGGAATAACGTGAACGGGCTCTTCCCCGAGCAGAACTGGGGGCAAAATGGATCCTCCTGAAGGCCTATCCATAGCTACTGATTTCAACCCGCACTCTGCCAGGCTTCCACTGAAAGGATTGCATTTAGCTTTTAGTGTATAAATAAGTGTTCTGATAAATAATTAATAGTAGCTGCTGGCCATAAGAGAGGCGACTGTTTGGAAAGTTAAAACAGTATCATGAAATATGCACCCAGCTCTATGCTCTAGTTTCAGGGGGGGCTTTATCCAACTCCTTTCCTTTCGCACGGGACTGTATTTTGCAAGGAGAGGGCCAGAGCTCAACTTCCAGAGCCTCAGGGTATTCTCTGAATTTATTCTCTCTCTCCGGGATATTTATCACCCCTTAAACCACCAGAGGGGAGGGCAGGTGGTTGGTGATTCACAGAGAAATTTGTAGATGTGAGAGTCAAATGCAGTAGTGTCTAGGTTTCTGGGTAAGAAATGACACTTACTGGTCACTTTCGATTTTAAAGCTGTCATAGGTTTTTGGGTTTGTTTTTGTTTTTTCAAATTAAAACAAAAGGAGGGCCATCCTGCCTTGATACTTCTGCCAGACTACCTGCACTCCACATACCTAAATAGCTGGTATAATGGACCAGGGCATCTTTACTTATTACTAGTCAGTATTTGCTGTGCCCTTTTAAGCGGCTTCACTATTCTATCCCCGTACGATTTGCCGTGTTAAGGGTGGAACCATGCACGCTCACATGCTGTACAATCCCTTACTGCACAGGGCACAGTACAAAAGCCAGTTAAATATTGTCAACAACTGAGGGTCCAGGTTTGTTTTGAATTGATAGAGCAACCATTCCTCCTCCTTAAGGTCTAACTCATTAGTAACTGAAAAGCAGTGATTCTGGAACTCCATCTTCTAACACACCACCAACAGGGTCTTGTTT